CTAATATTCATAAGGCAGTCAAGGATTTTAGTATTATTTACCCTCTTCAAGCTATACCTAGATCCCTGTATCCCAGAGCTCTGTTGTTCCAAGGTTGAGTATGCATCTGTCCCACTAGGCCATGCAAACCTGTCTCAGCGTTCCCCTATCTATTTTGTTCTTCTGCCTCCTACCCCCTTCATGGATTGCCCTTCCCAACACCCAAACCAAACCCCCTACCCCAACCCCATTGTGGTTACCTCATATTCCATTAGTTCTTCCCTCCATTTAAGATAGTCTATTTTATCCAGTAATCTGACCTTCCCACCACCTGGATCTCTGTTCCTCTGTGTTTACCTTTTTTCACATTGTAATTGTTTTGATCATAGACTGAACTCCCAGATTCTCTGTTCTTATAATTTTATTCTGTTCTTGACTCTTCCATTTGCCGATTGAGTTCAGGCTGATGCTGCCATGTACGCCATTCTGTAGTTGTTGTGTGTTCTTGTTTGTTCTCAGTCCACAGAACTTCCTTTAGGATGTTTTTCATAGCAGGGTTGACTTTGGCAAAATCCCTTAGCTTCTGCCTATCTGGGAATGTTTTGATTACACCATCATATTTGATTGACAGCTTTGCTGGGTAGAGGATTCTTGGGTGGCAGTTTTCTTCTTTCAGGGTTTTATATACGTCTCCCCATTGCCTCTTGCCTGCATGGTTTCTGTTGAGAAATTCGAGCTTAATCTGATTTGCTTGCCTTTGTATGTTATACTTGTCTTTTCTCTAGCTGCTTTCAAGATCCTGTCCTTATCTTTGATTTTGGAGAGCTTGATTATTATATGTCTTGGTGTTGTCTTTTAGGGTCTATCCATCCTGGGGTTCATTGAGCTTCTTGAATGCTTATCTTTTCACTTTTCATGATGTTAGGAAAATTTTCTTCCAGATGCTCTTCGACTATCTCCTCTGTGGGCTTGTGTGATTGTTCCTGTTCTGGAATGCCAATAATTCTTATGTTACTCCTCTTCATGTTACTCAACATGAATCTGGGGCCTTCTTCAGATTTTTTTAGCCTTTTTTGTGTTTGTTCTTCTATCTTAGTAGTGTTGAGAGATTTATCTTCTAGCTCACAAGTTCTGGCTTCTATCTCTTCCATTGTACTCCTTTGCTCTTTCAGTGTATTGTCCATTTCTGATATTCTATTATTAATCATTTGGACCTCTTTCTGTAGGTTTTGAATTGTTTTCAATGCTCTTATCTATCTTATTTGATTGTTCTTGAAGTGCTTTCCTGACTTCTTTCTTATTTTACTCAACTCCATTATATACTGTTTTGATACATTTTATAATCAATTTTCTGAATTCCTTCTCAGGCATTTCCAAAGCCTGCCCATCTTCTAGTATGGAGTGTAGGTCTACTTCCAGCTCTGCCTCAGTCACTTTATCTCGTTTCTGGACATATACAGTTATGGTCATCAGCTTCTGTTTTTTGGGCATATTCAGGGGTTATCTGTGGCCTTAATACTTAGATGGGTATGTATTTTGTTATTTTTTATGCTTTCTGATTGCCTCCAGGTAAATGTGATCAGGAAATGGGCTTCCCTTTTCACTCTTCTTCTTGAGAAATTTCAAGATGCCACTGTTGGTCATTTTGATGTAACTTAGGATTTAATTTTTGGCCTATTTCCTCTTTTGTCTGCTTGTCCCACTCCACAATCACCATTCCAGTCTTTTTTCTAGTTATAAACAGTTCAGCGCCAGCTGTAGCCGTTTGGTTTTAATTGGAAACTGTCTCTTTAAATTTTGAGGAGATCTGTGCACATGTATAGCAGAAACCCTCTGAGGGTGGGGCTGGGGTGCCCACTAGCTCAGGTACCCCTATAGTCACCAGAATGGAGGTGCACAGACAGCAAGGGACCAAAGAACATCTACCAAAAGAAAAGAATGTCTACACCTTTATCTCAGCGGTTCTGCCAGGTGTCTGTGGCCACTCTGATCCTTTCCCTGCTTGGTCTCACCCAAGGTGGCGGCTCCTGGAGCAGCCGAGCATTCCGAACTAGAAAGCAATGGATTTCTTGCTACTGGCACAAATTCCCCCAGCTGTAAGCCTTCCAAGCTTCTAAATATTCCTTCATATGTGGTTCAGAGTTCTGGGACCATCCCCTGAGCCTGCTTGGTTGGGTATTCTATGTTGTTGCTGGCAGAGCTCTTTACAGCATTTCCACCCGATCCACCGTCTTGTTTGTTCTCCCAAAATAATTTTTAAAAGTAAAAAAAAACAAAACACACTATAGGACAAGCACTAGACTGCTAAGTGTAAGGTCAGTGGTACACAACCACCAGCCACTCCTTGGAAACGCAATACAAGGTCTCTTAAGGGTTGGAACCAAAATGATGGCACTTAAGAATAACAGTAATCTTGGGGGTAGGAAGCATTTCTTATGAAGTGATATATGTAAGGTAATTATTTAATACTATTTAACACAGGTGGGATTATGAATGAAAATTCTGTTGATTTTTAGCATCCACTTTATTAAATTTTCAATACACTTTTTATTCTTAAATAAAATATTAAAAGATTATTTTTAAAACTTCCTTGAGGACATTATTGGTAGCTTACTGGTTATATATTTTTTGAAATTTATTAAATCTATATATATCTGCAAATAAATAATACAAGCATTTCAGCATATTCTGATTACACCAACATTCTAGGAAATATATGTACATTAACATATATATGCTTTAACAATTTCTGAAGAATTAGAATGAATTTAAAAACAACTAACTAAAATTTATATTGCTTATAATATAGTATCACTCTAAACTCTGGAACCTTCTTTAGGTTTATGTAATTCCTCAGGGCTATCACTACACATAGATAAAAAGACTAAGAGAAGTATGTAATCATTTGAATACAGATTTAAAAGTGAAACTAATCCCTAAGAAAAGACTGAAATAATGGACTAAAATCAACAAAATAAATTAGAAATAATTTAGGGACATACACAATTAGGGCTAACGTAACTAAATCATCAAAGTACAAGAGAAGAAAATAAGCTATCATTGTACGTAAAGGTCTTGAGTTTAAGTGATTGCAAGTAAAACATTAGCCAGTAGTAAGTCATTGTTGCTGTTGCTGTTGCTGTTTAGTGCTGTCGAGCCAGTTTCAACTCATTGCAGACCTGTATAGGGTTTCCAAGGAATAGCTGGTGAGTTTGAACCACTAACCTTATGGTTCAAACCACCTTTGTGGTCCAGTGCTTTATCCCACAGCACCATACCAGGACTTCACAGTAAGCCATAGCAGCATAAAAAAGTTAATGTAATTTTCATTAAAACATTTGATCAACAAAAATACTTGTTGAGAACCTACCAGGTACCAGGTACATTACTAAGAAATAATCTCAGAGTATTTACAACTCACAAAGTACTAGTTGTAAGTAACAGAGAACTCGAACTATTAAATCAGTATAAAATGTGAAATAATTAAGAGAAATATGACCTAGAGAAATAAGTTCTTAAAATTTTGAATGCTACTCTTAACAGAAAAAGAACAGTTCTTTCAATGACTACTATGCGTTGGGTATTATGCTAGGCACTGGTGGCTACTGTTGTTGTTGTTAAGTGCCATCGAGTTGGTTTTGACCCATAGTGACCCTACATAGGGTTTCCGAGGAGCAACTCGTAAGCTTGAACCACCAACCTCGTGGTTCAAACCAACTTTGCAGCCCAGAGCATTAACCCACAGTGCCACACCAGGACTCTGGTGGCTATTAGTGGAGATCAAAATAATATTGTTAGTACCTTCACTCTAGTCTAGTGAGTATTTTCTGGCGAGTACTCCATCACTGGAAAAATTTTAACAGGTATTAAATCGTAATCTGTCAAGCATATTATATGAAATATATGTACTTTATACAAAGTTTAAATAAATGACTTCCAAATCTAAAATTTTATGATTCATTATAAGCTATATTATAATTATTATTAATTATGACATAAAAGAATATAATTATTATTTGTTAGATAACATAGCTACTGAAGAAAATACCAGGCAAACACAAAGATGGAGTTTATTTATTTCTACCTCATAAAACAACCATGTCAACTTCTGCATTCAGCCTTCATAGGCAAACTCAAAACTGTTTTCAATGCACATTAAAATTTTCCAATCTTATATTTTTATTTCATTTCAAATTTTTAAAAATGTAAATCTTTTTACCCTAATGATTATAACCCTAGTTAAAATAATTTCAAAGAAATTAATTATCTATAATTTCTTATATTAATCAATATACCTTTCCATGGCTTTAGCTGTATAAGGCAAATGCATTTCAATACTGTGTTCATCTTCATCTGTCTGCAGAGACATGCGTTCAAACATTCCTGTTTTCCAAAGTTCTCCGTAAACTAAAAAGATTTCAAATATATGAAAACAAATATATTACAGTATATCCTTAACCTGTGAGATTCCACTCAGTAATATAAAACGACATGTTTTGGCAAGAGACAGAAGCACCACATAGTACTATCTTAATATTTTTAGAAAACAGAAAGAAAAAAAATATAGCTTTTTATGTACTAGACAAAATAATATAACATGCAATGGCTTCCTAAAGCATTTACACATGTTATATATAATGTGGGTGTATACAAAATAATCATTTAAATTCTTCATCACTTCCTTTCATTATTTCTAAGATCACCTCTCAGATTTTTTTTTTACTTCTGATCACTACATGCTAGCAAGAACACAGTGAGTAGATGGAACTCCTACCAAAACATGGAAAAACCACAGACCTATTTATTCATGATATTAATAATAGTTTGGGAGGATTTTTGGAATAAAACATACAGAATTATTATCTCAGACCTAAGGTTCCTTCATTTTGGACTAAGGATGCTAGTTTTCTCGGAATTAAAAATTAAATTAATAAGAGCTCAACATAAATTCACTAGGGCACCATCTCATCTTAAAATGACATACTAATTTATCTCTTTTGATGAACTGTACTTGAAACTAAACATTGTACAGCAAGATAATTTTTTTAAAAAGAAAACTTGTTTTAAGAATATATATTATCATAATTTTAATAACTAGATTCTAAAATATGTTTATCAATACTGATGAATAAAACCTGGTGGTATGACCTTTTTTTACCAAATTATACCTGGTTTAATATCCTCCATCCCTTTACTGGTAATTCAAAACTAAAACTGTCTGAATGTTCCAACAAGGTTTTAAAAACAGCATATTACGAAAATTATCCCTGGGAATAAGAAGAGCGATATTTCAGCTTCATTATTATAATGTATTCTAACAAAAAACAACTACTACACTATGTATGATACTTAAAGCTCCAGATTATGAAAATACAGGCCTAAAAAATAAGGAAAAAGAAGTGATCATTTCCTTTGAAAAGGATTCTTTCATCTATAAAAATATTTGAGAATTTTTTATTAATAATTGAACAAAAGCATCACTAACGTACTCAAAAGAAAATGTGATGAACGAGAAACATACACACCAAGTTCCATGAAGGTGGTTAGCTCTGGGAAAGGTCACTGAATATAGGAAGAGGGAAAAATTCTAACTCAATTGTGGATGATGAGTACATGATTATTTATAATATTATTCTCTATACTATTCCGTATTTAAAAATTCTGTTCCCTAGTCCTTCCAAAAATACTTTAAAGTTCAAAATTTTTAGTTTACATATTTGCTACATAAAAAGAAACACGTCTAAACAAAAAGTATTCATTTGTGGATGGAACTCTATAAAGAAAGAAACAATAAAATAATAGACATGTTTCTAAAATGTATAAGCCCATTACTCTCATTAAAATCATTTGGGAGGAAATAAAGATATAATCACCATTATCTACTTAAATGAGTAGGTGATAGCATTTAATCAAATTGGTACAGATACTAATCCTTTGTCTCATAGCACAATGTCCTCATATTTCTTCTGAGTGAATTTAATAGATTTCTGTGGTTTGCAAGAAAGCTGATTTTTGTGAAATGTAGGAGACTTGCTTTTTTTGGTATTTTGGTTTGTTTCTTTGCTTTTTGAGTTTTTTGGATTTTTTTCTAGGTTAGTACAAGTATATTTTATATAAAAATTGAGATCACATGATATTCAAATTTTTATTTAATTTTTAATTAGCTTATTATTCCTATTAAAATAAAATTCAGCTATTTAAAAACTGTAAATTTTCTAATACTTACTTTTTTGGTCAATACGAAGGTCATACAGAGGTGTCCTATATATATCCACACTGGAAAGTGCACATCGAGAGAGGGGCACATGATGAGAAGGCCCAAGGATGAAAATTCTCCGGCTAGGAGAAATACAACAACAACAACAAAAACAGAACAATTGTACTTCTATATAAATCTTATTAAATAAAAGGGGGAAAGGGTAATTAAAAATGACAAACTGATGTTTTCTTCTTGATTGCTTTCATTACTAACTAATGATTTCTTCTCAGTTAACTAAGCTCAATTATTGATCTCTGTCTTTATGTTAAAGACAAAAGAAAAGTTGACATCCAGTTGATTCTGACTCTGAATCCCACCATGTGTATCAAAAGGGAACTGCGTTCAATTACCACGTTGTTGTTTTGGCAGTAGATCACCAAGCCTTTCTTCCATAGATTCTCTAAGTGAACGTGATAAAACCTACAGCCTTTCAGTTAGCAGATGAATGCATTAACCCTAGACACTAGCCAGGGACCTCCACCTTTAAAAGAATGATCTTCTATTCCTAGAAATAACAGCTATTGATTACCTACAGTAAACCAACATGTTATCATGTTGGCTCACAATGTGTAGACGATTTTCACTTTCTCTATTTAATTCTATAAACCTTCTGATTTTAAAAATCTCAACACTGTAACACATTCTAAACTCACTTTCTAAGGAAAATACACTATAACTTCAATAAAGATTAGAACATGATAGCATAAAATTCTAAGAAGCTCCATATAAAATATTACTACAGGAAAGCATTTGATATAACAAAGCTATTTCTATGTTTCCTTCTGTAGCAGAGAGAGAAAAGTACCTTGTTGCAAAGAATTCTATGTAATAAGCCTTCAGTTCCCATGCAAGTAGAAGTCATTCTCAAAAACAAATAAATTTGATGTGCAATTGTATTGTAGTGCAAAGAAATGTGCAACTGTATTGTAGTCCCCAAAGAAAAGAACTGGGCTAATAAACTGCATCTTAAATCTTTACAACCCCTTTGTCTTGACATCAAGAGTAAAATCAACTCCTTCTCACTTTATCTCAAACACCCAGTAAGTCCTATCCTCTAAATTCTCAAATTATTAATCATCTTTGTTCTCCCAGATTCATAATGAGCCAACTTGCCCTTCACACACACACAAAAAAAATTACAGGCCAAATAATAATAATAATAAGCTATGCAAAAGAAGAAACTATATGATAAGCTATATGCCTAGAAAATTAAGTGCTCTTCATTGCTCAATTATTGAACAAAGACTGATTTTTATAGATCATGTAATGTATGATTTAACAATGTATTTATTTTGATCAAATTCTATTACAACTAAGAAAATTAACCTATTGTTTGCTTTATGATACTTTATATATTTGACAGGAGTCTGGGGTAAGCAGAGGTGGTTAGGAGAAGTATAGATAAAGAACAAGTGTTTCTGTTTTAAGAGTTCCCAAGCCTCTTCAAGTTGTCACAGAGATACATCAAATATTTTTGCTTTGTTCATTTGTGAAATGTTAAGATGTAAATGTGGAGGCACAGGGAGCAAGCAAAGCATATAATCTGTTGAATGTAAAGTTGATGAGCTTGTCTGTAAACCTTTACTCAATTCACAATAAAAAGTTAAAAAAAAAAAATATATATATATATATGTCAAAGAGAGTAAATACACTAGACTTCCTCTATAAGTCATTTTTATTAGAAACATAACTTTTTTTCCTTCCAGTCACCTCAATATATTATAGCACTGCTGAACCTTCTTATTGCTCTTATCATCAATTCAATGACCAATAATCATATGGGTGGGAGGGGGTACCAATTCAATAGTTTCCTAAATGAACAAAACTAAGAAATACCACTGTCCTCAAGACTTAACAGGACAGAAATATCATGACAAAATTTAATGTGAAACACAGATAACAGCAACACAGAGTGATCAAATAACTTACCTAAGTATGAAAAGGGACTCTTTTCTGATATAGAAATGTAATGATATGAAGACAGGATGATTTGAGTATTGTCACATAAGGGAGAAAAGAGAGCCCATCTCTGAATATATAAATACCATGCTGTTGTTTTTATGTACCACAGAGTCAGTTCCAACCCATAGCAACCCCGATAGGGTTTCCAAAGCTGTGTGTAAGTCTTGGGAGCAAAAAGTCTCATTTTTCTTCCACAGGCAGAACAGCTGGTGGGCTCAAACCATTAACACTGTGGGACACAGTCCGGTGCCTATCCTACAGAGCCACAGCACTCCACATAAATATTAGAGACTCTTCATTAATTCTTAAGCAGAAGTAAACACAAGACAAACACAAACAAGCATCACCCTCATTAGAGAAATCATTAATGATGCCATGATGAATTTCCAAAGCTCTATCTCCACAAGGTCACCTTTTCATAGGGCACAGAGAAAAATCTCTTCCCTCAACCATGACTGGTGACAGCAGCCACCCATCATATATACATGCCAGGCCTTAGAAAAGTGAGGAAGGGACTATTGCAGATAGGAAAGCTTACACTCTCTAATTATTGTCTTAGGATATGACATTACAACCAAGTGGTCAATAAATGGCATGTCCAGGAAAGTTCCTGTGAGGGACGACTGGAGAAAGTGGCTCAAAACCCACTTTTAAATATACTCTGCTTCTAACTCTGGCAGTTCACCTGTCAGAGGTTTAAGAAGTACTCAAGAAAAACTGGAATCTGAACACTTAAACCAGGTAAAAGAAAAGCTCTGCCTGGCTACAGATATTCATAGGCAAAAAGCCTTCAGAGTTTATCTTCTACAGCACACTTTGGGAAAATCTAGGACACATAGGTAAAATATAAAATCATTTTTAAAATATCAATCTAAACTCAAAGCACAGATAACCTTCATAGGCACAAGATTTCAATAATGACCAAAAAACGGTCATTACTCCAGGTCTTAAGTGCCCAAGAGGTCTGCTGGAAAATCTCACTACCTCCAAGGATGACAACTTCCTTTGCCTGCTCTTCTAACATCCATTCTAGATGAATGAGAAAGAGTCTCCAGTCTAAATTAAGCAAATGTGTACCTAACAGACTATTTTCAGTTTAGTAAAACTTACTCATTTGTAGTAAAGGGGTAACAACCATCAATATAAAATCCTCGAAAAGAAGAAAAGCTAACTATCATTGAAACAACGAAAAAAATATTTATTAGTACTTTTTACTTAGAATAGCCTCCTCATTAGCTACACACTAACAAACAAAATTAATAGTGAATATATTAGATAATGAATGTCCAAAATGTAAGATACATAAATATTCATTCCCTAGAGGTATTTTGGAGAAAGAAATGAGTACTATAAGCTTGGAAGCAACGCCACTTTCTTTCCCTTTTAATTAATGCAAAAATCTTTTGTCTTTAAAGGAGTTGTTCTTTCAATATTAGCATACTATCACTGTTGCCATACTGATAAAAAACAAAACCTTTCATATGAAAAAAAATCAGTTCTTTTAAGTATAAACACAATTCATAATACACTCAGAGAATTCAAATTTGTGGAGTTAGTTAAAAATGATGAATACAATCTGTGTACCCAATATGTAACATGTCTGGATGTCTGTTCTCATATATATTTATATAACAACTTATTCCAAATAATGGAACTGAAGTAATATTTTAGATATGTTCCATGAAAAGTAGAGACGTTTTAAATATGAAATACAATGCCATATGGCTTCAAAGACTACATTTTGCTCTTTTGTACCTATCCCTATACCTGCATGAATTTCTAAGAGATATGACTCAAAATCCAAGTTACCACCTAATTATATCTAAAGTCCTGGTATGGTGCTATAGGATAAGCACTGGACAGCTAAACAAAATGTTGGTGGTTCAAACCCACCAGCTGCACCTCGGAAACCCTATTCAGGATCACTGTGAGTCGGAACCAACTTGGTGGCAGGTAACAATGCCACCACTGAAGTCTATACTGATTCTTGGCAGTGGCATCAGTGGCACTGGTATCACCCAGTGTAGTAATTCATGGGGACACCCCTTCACATGGACCTCCTCCCACTATCAGACTATACAGAACTCTTAGTGATGGTAACTATCAAACTTATTACAGAATAATATGAAGAGACCTCAAAATAATCATGGAAAACAAGACTAAGAGATATGGACTCTTTCCACCAAACTTTTTGAAGCTCCCTCGTATGTGATAAATACAGTAGTAAATTGATTAAATGTAATATTTCTTAAATTATAGGAAAACTAACCACAAATTGCTTTGTAAAATCTTTCTACATTGAATTACAACATTAGTAACTAAGCAGAAGTCTTTGATTTTTATTCCTTTTCCTAATTACTACTTAATTCAAAAGTTACTGATACAGGCTCACAAATGTCAATTACCACAGTATTGTTGCTAAAACACCAGAACATTTGACAAAATTAGCTACTATAAGAACACAGGAAGCCACAAAAAAAAAAACCCAGCATGTGCTTGTTGCTGTTGCATGTGCAGATGAAAACCCATGATTTGAAACATCACTGTAACTAGAGCACTAGAAGTTTCAAAAAGTAAATTAACAGAGATTTAGTTTCGTCAAGTATACTGATACATGTAACCTGGGCTTACAAAAAAAAAAAAAAAATGTTTTTACTGACATAACTGATTATGTATATTATAAAATAAATTTCTACTGATACACTGCATAAAATTTTTATAAACAGTCATTTTGGTGCCAACCCTTTTGATAAGAGTCACTTGGTACTGTCCATATCCTCTCCAGGTCCTCCAAGTAATACCAATGATTGTTGCTGTTAAGTGCCATCTAGTCGGTTCTGACTCACAGAGGCGCTGACTAGGGTTTTCAAGGAGCAGCTAGTGGGTTTGAACAGATGACCTTATGGTTAACAGTCCAGTGTTTGTCTTACAGTGCCACACCAAGACTCCAATGATTATGGGTTCAATAATAGTAAAGACAAGAATTTGCAACTACCAATATAATAAAGAATTTTCTAAACTGTAGATGCAAAATGTATCATTTTTTTACTTCCTTAAACAGCCATGGTGATATATTTGAACATGAATCAAATCACATCACTTTCCAGCTTAAAGGCTT